CCAGGTCACGCTCATACCCTGGTGTTACCTGGTGTTACTGGGGTGTTATTTGTGTTACGAGGGTGTTACTTGTGTTGTGTTGGTGTTATCTGTGTTACTGGAGTTCTGGAGTTAGGTCAGGTTAGCTAGTGAAAAGAGCGGTGATGGGAGAAGCAGCTAGGAACAGCGGTAGTAATGAGTGGTGCAGCAGCTAGGAACAGCGGTAGTAATGAGTGGTGCAGCAGCTAGGAACAGCGGTAGTAATGAGTGGTGCAGCAGCTAGGAACAGCGGTAGTAATGAGTGGTGCAGCAGCAGTACAGTAAGATGCAGCATCTTGCGGTGTCTTAGATCAGTTACTTAATATACCAGAGTGGTGGGGGGGGGGGGCTTGGCGCCGTGTAGGAGTGAGGGAGGGACCGTGGGAGTGAGGGAGGGACCGTGGGAGTGAGGGAGGGACCGAGGGAGGCAGGCCTCAGGGAGCACTACGCCACTCACCACCACCCTACTTTCTTCACTCAGCCGGGACGGACGTGAGTTTTCAGCCCTCACTCGTTTAGCCCCACTGCAGTCCCCAGCTCCACCCCTGTAGCCCCGTCCCTAGTAGTCCCCAGCACCTATAACTCTCACCCAAGTAGTCCTCACGCCAGTAGCCCCCGTAGCCCTCTCTTGTGGCCCCCAGCTCTAGCTCCACCCGGCAGCGGCTAAGTATAGGACCTAAGATTTGGTGAAAATATACTGTGAAGAAACATATGTGAGACAGATGTGGTCGTGTGAATGGGGGCGTGAAGGTAGGTGTGTGTGTGTGTGTGCACCCTGACTCAAACCGGATATAGTTATTAAAGACATAATTCCTATACTAAGTTGTAAGATAGAATCAGTTCATATTTACGATAATCATTAAACCAAATTACATCCAATATTGTGTAAGATCATCACTAGTTCTGGCAGTCTTCTAGTGATCTTGGCTTATGTTGTTCAGTCTTCAAATACATATATTGAACAGTCCGGATGTACAGTATGTCTGCATTATGGCGATCTTCCGTCTGCTGCATGAACTATCGTGTATCCAGAATATAAACATTATAATATATGTAGCGCGGGAACTATCGTATATATTGTACTTGCTCTGGGATTGTAAATAAACTCGTACTCTTAGCGCACATATTATCGTATATCAATTATATAAACATTTTCATGGCGCTGGAAATATCGTATACAGCAAGCAGTGGGTAGTAGTGTGTTAAAGATATCACATCGTGTAGCGAATAATAATAATCTCTCCCTGGGTGAAAGTGATGATACCAGCACCTACAGCAGGAAATAAGGCTACGTCATTAGAGGTCATTGACTGAGTCTGTTACCTGGGCGCCAAGGTTACTCAAGAGGAAGATGGTGAGGGAAAGACGAGATGGAATTTTCGGTCTACGAGAATGATATTTTATTACTCTCTCTCTCTCTCTCTCTCTCTCTGCATTAAGACATAACAAGACTACAGGTATAGTTTAACCTTCAGACAGTCAGTTCAGTGTTGCAACTCTCGATGGCTCTGATCAACGCCGCCTTATTACTGTTACCACGACGCTTTCACAACCTCTCCTACAACACCACAGTTTCCTTCTTCATAAATTTGGCCGAGTTCAGTCAGCCTATAAGGTGAGGTTAGCGTTAAAGATAAGTTAGGTTGGGTTAAGTTAGGTCAGGTTAAATTGGTTAATCTTTACTTGATCTGTTTATCTTATGTTTTGATAAAAGTTTCCAGTGAAAAAAAAAGTTCCTCGTTAATATCGTGACTGAGAAAAACCTTCAAGATTTTACACAACCATTGAGAGTGTGTTGAGGAGGTTAGCGTTGGCACGATGCTGTGTGTGTGTGTGTGTGTGTGTGTGTGTGTGTGTGTGTGTGTGTGTGTGTGTGTGTGTGTGTGTGGTTCCGTCATAATATGTGATGAAAAGAAACCTTATTAGATCTCGGATATTACCAAAAGTTCAGGGAATTTTTTTACCCCAAGTGTACGTAGCTAACTAAACGCAAAGCCATAATTCATTCACACACCAGGTCAGCCATACATGTCTCACACCAGGTCAGCCATACATGTCTCACACCAGGTCAGCCATACATGACTCACACCACCACCTCAGCCGCTAGTACCTCGTGACCTGACTCAGATCAGTTGTATGAGTGAAACTAGGCGAGGTCAACTGCTGCAGCACCCCCTCGACCCTCAGATCAATAAGTCAATATCAGAGACTCCCTTTGTGCCCCTGCCTCTGTCCTTCTATCTGAGCTTGGGAGGGGTGGCTGAGGGGTCGGGAGGGGTGCTGAGGACTCGGGAAGGGTGCTGAGGACGTCGGAGGGGTACTGGTGGCTCCGGAGGGGTGGCTGGGTGTTGAGGGGTCGGGAGGGGCGTTGCGGGTTCCAGATGGTAGTGGTGGTAGTAGGGAAGGGGCTGGTGCAGGTAGTGAGGACAGCTGCGAAATGGGGAGGAAAGTTTGTGATGGGGGCTGATGAAGGTGAAGGTTGGAGATGGCGGGGGTGGTGTTGGGGACGGCACTTGGTACATATGGTGAAGGAGACATACGGAGGGAAAAGGAGAAGCTGGAGAGAGAGAGAGAGAGAGAGAGAGAGAGAAAGAGAGAGAGAAAGAGAGAGAGAGAGAGAGAAGGTGAATGGCTGCTGTAACTCCTCATAGTATTAAATATTACAGAAGATATTTATAACAATTTAATTTTCGTTGAGTCACTCGTGTATATATTCATCGCCGACACCAACTAAACATACATGTGTGAGTTACCGTGGATACTTTTTTTTGGCGCAAATCCGTCTAATTCTCGGCGACTCTGATTAGCCTTAATGAAACGCCTGTGAATGTTAATTAAGTTGTATGAAACGCCTGTGGACCGTGATGAAGTGGTATGACACATCTGTGCTTCGTGATAAAACTTTGATGAAACACTTGTGAACCTTGGCTAACCTTAATGGATTACCTATCAACAATAAATAACATCTGTAACACCTGTCTAGTACTGAGCTTCTTGAATCAATAGTCTAGACTAGGGTGAACGTTGTGAGGTGACAGTCGGCGCTAGAGTGGACGTTAACACTGATCTAGATTGCACTTAAGTTCGAGCTTCTATTATTGACCCATCCAATCATCAAGACATCACCTAAACTTACCGTATATAAAAGGTCAAAGGTCAACGTCACTTGCGAAACACATATCACCCGGGTGTGAGTTAGTACGTGGCTAAAGTGGAGTCCCTTACTTTACCTTGAGTTATTAACCTCCAAACTTTCATCAGGTTTTGGGTGAATATTGGTAAACAGTGAATCAGGCCGGTCGGTGTAAAGGTTTCCCAACACGTCGCTACCGCCGCCTCGCCCCACTCAGAGTTCACCGCCCGATATTTCCTCAAAAAGATTCGCTAGTTTAATTGGTGGAGACGAGACCACAGCTTGTTATGGTTTGAGTCTAGCTGCAATTTTCGACCGTGTTCTGGGTCGACCGTCACACCTATGTCGTTTTTAATTTGAGGCAATTACTTCATCTCTCTCTTCCATCTTCATCTACCTGGTGAAAATTAGACCGTGTGCATCTCTGTCAGTCCAACGTGTCCAGGTCTAGGATTATCCCCCCCCCCCCTCAAAAAAAAAATCCTACCAGACGACAGTGTACGAGACAGTATCCCAGCACAGGATCCCATTAGTTCAAGGTCATTAAATCACCCAAATCCTTTTACCTCTAGGTTTTAAGTCTTCATACACATACACACAAGTAAATCAAGCCCCTGAACGTATGGGAAACCGGTTGAGGGTATTGGGGTGTGCTCGCTGGTGTGTGTTGTGTTGTTGCTGCCTGTCAGTATTGGGGGAAGAGGGAGGAACCATGTGGGGAGGAGGAGGTGTTGTGCTGCTCCCCCTAACACACACACCCTACTCTACCCACAACACCTTCACACACGCACCCTCGTCATTCACACACGTCACACCAACTCACACACACATTCTGGCTTCAAACAAACACACACACAAAGATTGAACTAAATTAGCATATGAAGACTGACAAGTGTTCCAGACTCGAGCGTGTTTACAATAGGTCATTCCTCTACACACGGGCTGACAACTGTGTGTGGTGAGCAGCTGTCTGTCTGTTTGTAATGGTGGTGTGGTAAGGACGGTGGTGCCCTGCCTGAGGGGGTCGCCACCCGCAAGCTATTTACCGTGAACTACCTGCCTGCTGGTTAGAGAGAGAGAGAGAGAGAGAGAGAGAGAGTTAGTTATGATAGAAATTACATTGTTTATGGTCGTAACTTAAGTTATTCACATAGATGCATTCTCACCGGCGGTACTTTCACAGCTTGATCACCTGGTCCGACACATACACACACACACACTTCACCAGTTGTCTCGTCGAACACAAAACATGAATAATAACTTAATTATGAACATCAGAACATAATATATACAGTTATGGACTTCACCAGGACCTGTACGTATGGGTGAGCCATTAACCTAACCAAGGTAACGGGACAAGCAGGTGAGTTAATAATGGTAAATGGAGGCAATGTCTCGTGACCTACTTCCTGTGTACTCACCAGCCAGCTGTTTGTCGTCCATCCTCATCGCTGCTGCCTCCTCCTCCTGCCACGCCACGTCCCCTTCTACACATCGTCGTCGTCGTGGCTCAAGGCGTCATGAACATTAAACCATGACGTTATCTGGTACCGTTGTGGTGCTTCTCTCCCTGTGTGCCTTCGTTTATCTGGTTCTTAGGTTTTGTCTTCTCGTTCACATCGTCCTCAATGCCTACGGTAGGTTGGTATATGCCTCGTGTTCTCTGGCGTCTGTCGTGTCCTGGAGGAGGAGGAGGAGGTCGTCGAGGCCCTTATCGAGTCCTCCTCCTTGTCTTGAGTCACTCCTGTTGTGTCTATCTATACCTGACATTTGGCCTGCATGGCGTCGATTGTTGGGGCTTTCTTATCCTCTTAACTCCCTCCTCTTCCTTCTTCTTCTTCTCCTCCTCTTCCTCCCACTACTTCTTCCTCCTCCCTCACGCCAGCTTGGATTATACGACCCAAGCTTCAGAGAGGAAGGAAGTGGGGGGAAGGCAGCTTGATCAGCTTCTACACCACCTTTAGTCTGGTTAATTGGGGACCTCTTGAAGACACTAACAGCGACACCCCTCTCCTGAAGACCTCTGCTGTTGGGTCCTTGTGTAGCTGTCGTGGTCATGGTGTGGGGTCATGGTGTGGGGTCATGGTAGTAATGGTAACAGTCTCGTGTGGTGATGATGGTTGTGATTAGGGTGGATCATGGAGAAGTAATTATGGTAGTAAGGGGAGTGGTAGATGCCATAATGGTAGTGGTTCTCAGTAGTAGTCGTGGAAGGGTCATTCATGGTACCACTGATTGTTGTTGATAGTGGTTGATACAGCAAATGGTGGTGGTAGTGGTGGTGATGGTGGTGGTAGTAGTAGTAGAGGTATGAGTGATGATGATGATGGCACTAAATGGTCACCTGACACTACCTCGACACTGGTGCTCGTAATTACAGGTGTGGTGGTGGCAGGTATAGACAGTGTGTGTGTGTGTGTGTGAGAGAGAGAGAGAGAGAGAGAAAGAGTAGCCTATATATGTATGTATGTATGTACAGTATGTGTGTACTTATGTGTATATGAGTAGTCTATGTATGTGCAATATATATTAACAGTATGTATGTATGTATGTATGGTTCTATGTACGCGTGTGTGTGTGTGTGTGTATGACCCGGGATAAAGTGGGTTGTGAATATCATGGGGATGGTCTCTCTCTCTCTCTCTCAAATCACTCAAGAATGTCTGTCATATTTAGTATAATGGTGGGTGTAAAGTGATCTACTGTGACTACTTTTATTATTATTATCATCATTATTATTGTTATTCGTCCTTTTTCTTCTAGCTACTCCTTTATTTGTTCATATTACTTTATCACTATTATTGGTCTATCATCATTATTATTATTATTGTCGTTGTCATTATCATCTTCGCATCACTTAAAAAATATCCTTATAATATATATTTTTCTTTTTGTGGTATTTTATTTTTTTCTTTACGTTTTTATTTATCATATTATTATCTTTTATTATTTCATTCATTTTTGTCACTAATTCATTGTTTATTTTTGTCCTATTTCATTCACATTGTTTACACTATAATATTCACTGTTATATTCACCATCACTTCACTTTCCTCTCTTCACCTCCTCATTTCCTCTCACTTTCTTCTCATCCATCTTCTCACTTTCTCCTTCGCTGAGTCTTTACCTCCTACTCCTTCTTCTCCTAGGCCTCAGAGTCGGCCTCCTTAAGGTCAACCTCGATCTCCTCAGGTGAGCGGAGATCAATGGCGAACTTCTTGGGCCTCTTGACGGATTTGTTGCCCTTCACCTGTTGGAGGACGAGCAAGGGGGGATTAGTGGCGTAGAGAGGGAAGGAGGGGTTAGTGGTATAGAGGGAAAGAGTGAAAGGGGGGGGGTAGAGAGAGAGGGGGAGGAAGAAAGAGAGAGGGAACGAGTGAGTGAGAGAGAGAAACATATAATACAGTACATCTATAAATCACCATCATTTGAATCCGTGTAAAGTCAAAGCTGTAATGTATCTATGGTTTGTTAGTACTAATGGCGTCGTCACCTCACCTCCTTGGAGAACTGCTGGAAGGCCTGGGCGAGGGCGAAGGTGAGCTTACGGGCGTTGTGGCGGGAGTCGCAGACGAAGGCGTGACACTGGAAGGGGTGGTGTGTCTTGAGGCTGGTGGCTGCCTCCTCCCTCACAACGATCATGGCGAACACCCGCGTGTACACCAGGTCCTGTACCCCGTAGCTGTACACACACACGAGGAGAGATAAACATATTTAGTCGAAACTGATACATTAACAAAATAAAAAATATAAACTGTCCTGTTTTCTCACACACACACACACACACACACACACACACACACTCAAGGACAACAATACATGTTACAGGAAGCTCGGGTGTTAAAAAAAAAACAAGTGAATTGAATGAACGTTGTGGTTATTTCCTGCTTAATATTATACATTTATGAATCGGAGGACGTATTGCAGCTGTTGTGTATAACCTGTCAGAGGGTGTACACACTGAGATGATCAGGGATAACGGTGAGAGAGAGAGAGAAGTAAGTCGCTCACCTGATGACGTCAATGTTGTAGAAGCCGCCCTCGAACGCCTTGTTGACGTTCTGTGGCATCTCGGAGATGTTGACGCCCTTGTCGCTCACCGTCAGCTTGAGGAAGGGCAGCGTCTCCCCGGGCTTCATCTCCTTCGCCTTCGCCACCATCTCGTCTACGGGTTTCCTGGTGTGCTGTAGGGGGAGACAGACAGACATGTAGGACTTTGTTTTAAGGACTCGACGTGATCCTGTGAGAGTAGAGTTAAAACTGACTTTGTGGAATATTCGTGAACCTGAGCTTGTGCGGAGGTCTTAGATTAACTCTTTAAGTCCAGTGATGACCCTTGTGATACCCACCTTGATCCCCTGATACCCACCTTGATCCCCTGATACCCACCTTGATCCCCTGATACCCACCTTGATTCCCTGATACCCACCTTGATGCCCCAGAGGCCTCCAGCATCACGGCATCCCAGGTACTTGACGGTGAAGTCCTGAGGGAGGGGGAGGGTGGCGGAGGGCTGGTCCTGTGGCTTGGTGTCTGTAGGGCGGCAGTGACACATTATTATTATATTATTATTATTATTATTTACGTTGATGTTTACTATTAGTGTTGTTATAATATATTTTTTTATTATGCTCCAATTTTTTGTATGTATATATAAAATAGGTGAGGGTGGACCACAGGTGAGGGTGGACCACAGGTGAGGGTGGGTCACAGGTAAGGGTGGACCACAGGTGAGGGTGGGTCACAGGTAAGGGTGAGGGTGGACCACAGGTGAGGGTGGGTCACAGGTGAGGGTGGACCACAGGTGAGGGTGGGTCACAGGTAAGGGTGAGGGTGGACCACAGGTGAGGGTGGGTCACAGGTAAGGGAGGGTCACAGGTAAGGGTGGACCACAGGTAAGGGTGGGTCACAGGTAAGGGTGAGGGATGGTGACAGGTGAGGGTGAGGGGTAACAGACCCTTATTGGTGGAAGGTTTGTCATCGAAGCTCAGTTTACGGATCTCCTTGGTGATCTCGTCTGCTGGAGGCGCTGATGGGGTCTTACTCCCGTTCATCTTGGGCGGCAGCTATAGGTCGTGACGTCAACGTGGAGGGAGTAAAGAGAAAGGACAATGACATTTAGTAAACAATAAATATAACAATAATAAAAAAATAATAATCATAATAGTAAACTGATACATTATTCTGTCCATAGAGGCTTCGGGTTCACGAGTCTGAATCTCTCGGGGGTTCGTGGTTCAGGAGGAGAGGCGAGCGGTCTTTAGTAGTTGACTGTTACTGTACACTAGATGGTCGTGTTGGCTCCGGGTGTGTTGTTGTGTGTGTGTCACTTCATAGGTTAGGAGGCGCCAGGTGTGTGGGTTAGGAGGCGTCAAGTGTGTGGGTTAAGCATAACTCAAGACGTTAACGTGACTTAGAACATTTTTAACATGACTCAGGATGTTCAGTGTTCAACCTCGACCACTGAGCGTCACCAAAAGATGTTCAGTATAAGACCTTGAGCCCTATAGTGCGTGTGTAGCAACAGACACAAGAGGAGGAACGCTACTAAGGCCTCCTCACCTTGATTGACCTTTCTTGTAGGGATTCTGACACACACACACACACACACACACACACACACACACACACTGTACATATATATGCCTGGTGTGTGTGTTTGTGTGTAGATTACGGCAAGGAGAGAGGTGGGGGAATGAGGGTAGGGGGAGAGAGAAAGCGAAAGGAATGATGGTAGGGAGGGGAGGGAGGAGAATGCGGGTAATAATGAGGGAAGGAGGCAGTGAGGAGAGGCATAGGGAGGAAACACAGGAGGACAGAGAGGGAGGTACACAGCTGGGAGAGGCAGGAAGGGAGTGAGGCAGTGGCAAAAGAGGCAGCAGGGAGAGGAAGGCAGGGAGGGAGGCTGGGTGAGAACTGGTATACAGTTAAGTGTGGTAAAGGTTACTTGTCCTGGCTACGTGTGTGTGTGTTAGATCCTGCTGTTTCCTGCACGTTCCCCGTTCCCGTTATCCCCACCTGCCCTAGTTACGTACCTGTTATGTTGTACTCGTCCTAGTTACGTACCTGTTACCGTCTACCTGTTCTAGTTACACATATACTTTATACTTGACATCTCACCTGCCCTAATTACACCTATCTTACCTTATTTACACCTGTTCTTCCACCTTACCTTAACCCGGCCCTCTTCTGTAATCTAATCACTTACTCTTCAATTCAGATTCAAAGAGTTAGATGCCGAGCACAGGTGTAGGGGGACTATTACCTTAACCTAACAGAGGTATTGGTTTAGTACAGGTATGATACTCTACACTAGGTATGATGAGGCCTGTACACACACACACACATGATTGGTTGCAGTGTTGAAGGTGTTGCCTCTGATGTTGCAAATTAAGCGCCGCATTATTGCACACACACTCCTGCACCCGTATACTGTCACAGGGCAAGTGGAACCCAGTCCTAATGGACCCCTACCTAACTTAACCTAACCTAGTGGACCCCTACCTAACTTAACCTAACCTAGTGGACCCCTACCTAACTTAACCTAACCTAGTGGACCCCTACCTAACTTAACCTAACCTAGTGGACCCCTACCTAACTTAACCTAACCTAGTGGACCCCTACCTAACTTAACCTAACCTAGTGGACCCCTACCTAACTTAACCTAACGGGCCCCTACCTGATGTGACCTAGCATAACTTGACCTGACCTAACACTTAGAATTAGGGCCTAGTTATAATAAACCAGACGCTAACCTAACCCTTAATGATCAAGTATGAGATTCTAGTAATACCTGCGGCCCCAATACTAATGCTTCGGAGGCCTATTGGAACAGTGAGAGGGGAGAATCTGGCCTTGTGTGTGTGTACGTCACGAGACCTTCACAGCATCATAATAACTGGTCAGTGGTGCGGCTTTGGCAACATCCTCATAACGCGTGAATAAAAAAATAAATATTAAGATCCTCCCGACTGCATCCTGTTTGGTGTCTTCACGTGTGGTAAACAATATTGTCTGTTTGTTTACATAAATAGGGAGTTGTCTGCTTTTTTTCTAATGTATTCACGTGATGGAATATTTTCTCATACACAACACACCTTTTCATTAACCTATAGTCTTCATATACATACATACATAATAATAATAATGGAAGCCCCTCGAAATCGAGGATGGCCGGCCCAAGGGACTCCTCGGCGTGAATTTGTTAAGGTGTAGAAGCTGTCGCCAACACAACAACCACACCCTGAGTTAACGAGCTGCGTGACCCAGTGTCACGGAATAGTCTGAGAAGACTGGACAGCTTGCCAACTGCACTGGCAAACCATTACCCCGGAATACGATCCGCAAATCGATTAACATCCAGGTTCCCAATTACTGCTGGGTAGACAGAGGCAAATGGCGTAAAGAAACTTGCCCATAGTTTCACCCTGCCCGGGGATCGAACTCGGGTCCGTTCGCTTACGAGGCGAGGATGCTGACCATTACACACAGACACACACACATTTTTTATCCATGGTGTAGGTTGCCAATCTTGTTGTAAATATATGTAGGTCACTTGGCATTTATATTACGTCCGTTAGCTCTCTCTCTCTCTCTCTCTCTCACCTGTGGCCTTGACCTCTGACCTTATTACCTGTTCAATTACAAAGCAGGTGTTTCATATACAATTATCTTGCCATTTTGTCCAGTGTCATCAGAATCGGCGAACTTGTTTGGGTAATATCCTGTTCACACACACACACACACACACACACACACACACACACACACGGGCCGGGCGGGAGGTAAACAGTTGTATACAAAGGGTCATAATGGCGGGGCTGTAGCCAGTGACCTACAGACTCTCCCCATCTGTTATTTTCCTCGTCACTGTGAATGGGAAAATTATCATAATTTAGTGAAGCGCTTCCTGCTGTGGGCGGTGACGTGTGTGTGTGTGTGTGTGTGTGTGTGTGTGTGTGTGTGTGTGTGTGTGTGTGTGTGTGTGTGTGTGTGTGTGTGTGTGTGTGTGTGTGTGTGTGTGTGTGTGTGTGTGTGTGTGTGTGTGTGTGTGTGTGTGTGTGTGTGTGTGTGTGTGTGTGTGTGTGTGTGTGTGTGTGTGTGTGTGTGTGTGTGTGTGTGTGTGTGTGTGTGTGTGTGTGTGTGTGTGTGTGGTGTGTGTGTGTGTGTGTGTGTGTGTGTGTGTGTGTGTGTGTGTGTGTGTGTGTGTGTGTGTGTGTGTGTGTGTGTGGTGTGTGTGTGGTGTGTGTGTGTGTGTGTGTGTGTGTGTGTGTGTGTGTGTGTGTGTGTGTGTGTGTGGTGTGGTGTGTGATGATGTATGGTGCACATAGGAGGAACGAGAACGACAAGATAAGGGCATATGGGGAGAGAATCCAAAACGTTGACCAAGGCAGCTTCACTCCTCTAGTGTTCACAACCTCGGGTGGGATGGGACCAAGTGCAAGATGTTTCTACGCCAGACTCGCGGAGGTGATCTCCGAACAGAAGCAGCAGCCCAGAAGTTACGTTACAGCCTGGATGAGATGTCGACTGTCCTTCTCTCTCCTTCGGTCGGCTTTGCTCTGCCTCAGGGGAACGAGAGCTTCTGCCCCTACGCCGACAACTGCTGCAGATATCGACTATGAGGCTACAGTCACTGAATGCCGCATAGATCTGCGGCTCAACTAATTTAACACAGATAGGATAGCTTCTTATGTATTAGGATATTTAATATTAAGGTAAATAAATGGTGGCGAAGGTGTGGCTATTGGGGGAGGCTGGAGGCCACGTTAAAAAAAAAATAAGTGGTTTGTGGTGATAGTGATGATGTGTGGTGATATGGACACAATCACCATCACCTAAACGACCAAACTGCCGCCATTGTATATGATGACTCAACTCCAGGTGGCGGCACATACAAAACTCTAATGACCTTTGACCTTTTAACTCTTACTTAAAAAACACCGCACAGGCTTCACAGGGTCTCATGTTGACTATACGTGTCGCCAAGTATAAACAGCATACCTTATAGCTCTCTCTTGTCCAGGGTAATATTGTTGAAGACGCGGTAAAATAAACTAGGGTGTTTAATCTTCAGGTGATCCAGGTGTTATTCTTTTTAATATTAAGGAAATTGACCCCACTAATAACTGTAATTAACGATGTGTAGTTGTTATTATTTTCACTCACTTATTTAAGGAGTGGTTAACGTGTGTGTGGGGAGAGTCAAGAGGTGTGGGAGTAAATGGCTGGATTTAATCAAGATAAAGTGACCTGAACTAGATAGGTTCTCAGCTCTCACTCAGTACAGGGGGAGAGAAATTTACCTTATAATAAGCTAGGGTCTCTCTCTCTCTCTCTCTCTCTCTCTCTCTGTTGGTGCGTCAGGCTGTGGTGGTGGTGTGTGTAGGAGCGGAAGGGGGAGGTACCTGGACATCACCACCTAACACCCCCCCCCCTTCACCGCCACCTTCAGCAGCAGTCACACACAGAGAGAAGTCTTCAGCAGTAGACACAACACCATAAGAAACTAGGTGGTGCAGGAGGTTATCTGTTGCCACTACACACACACACACACACACACACACACACACACACACGTTGTTCACCTCGTCACTTAAACATCATTCTTCCTGTCCTTCTCTTCTTCATGACTGCCAAAATGATACGGAGGGTGTGTGTGTGTGTGTGTGTGTGTGTGTGTGTGTGTGTGTACCTGTGAGTGTATTGTTGTGTTTTTTCTGGGATTTATGTTTTTGGATGTTTTTATTATTTATATATTTATTTTTATTTTCTATTTTTGTTGTTGTTGGTTACAGGACATTGGTTACTCTGTCTGTCTGTCTCTCTGTTGTTTTTGTGTGTGTCTGTCTCTATCTGTCTCCCTCTTTTTATGTGCATCATCCCCCCTCTCTCATGACGTAAGGGCATTGTTGTTGTTGTCGTTAATTACCGCTTTTCCCTTAACCTGGATACCTACCACAATTTCCCCGGATTGTTTGCACCGCAGGAGCACTGTTACCTACCACCACCACCACCACTACTACCACCACCACCACCACTACTACACCACCACCACCACCACTACTAGACGTGACGCTACACACACACAGAATGGAAGAAGGGATCAGAGGGAGAGGGGATGAGGGAGGGGGTGATAGGGAGAGAGGGGGGGAAGGGAGAGAGGGGGGGAAGGGAGAGAGAGAGAGAGGATGGATGGACCGGGTGATGATGAATTCTCTACTACTACAGTGTGTCAGTGAGTCATAACCACTAATTACAGGTATATAACAGGTGTCTGGTCCTATACCTGACTCATGGAATAATAACCCCCCGCTACCGGAACAGGATCAAACCAGGTGACAGAGTACAGTAAATCAATCTAGCTTGAGTGAGTTAACACTGCGCCACACACCCCTTGTCACTACACCCAGGAGGCACTTGTGATACACCTAGACACTCCTGAACCACATGTGTTGAGTCAGTCCTTCACCTCATAGACTGATGTTTGAGTAAAAGGCCACGCGGATTTTTTGTTTTTTTAAGTATCACTGTTTTTGTTGGTTATCGGTTCATTAAATAACTCCATGAAGTGACGTTATTATTGTTGTTGTTATTATCACTTTATTATGTGGACCATCCTCCTTGTGTTAGGCTGCCGTGGTACTTCCCTGTTACTTTCCTGTCACTCTCCTGTTACTTTCCTGTCACTTTCATACCACGTCATGGTAATTTTTTTTTCATTTTCTTTCAGGTTTCTGCACCCAACACGAATGTAAGTGAGGAGAACAGGTTAATAGAACAAATGTATTATTACCTTCTGTGTGTGTGTGTGTGTGTGTGTGTGTGAAGGAGGGAGTTGTCTATCTTGTATGTATGTATAATAATGTGAGACTCAGTATAGAGAGAGTATATTGTACAAGAAGGGAGGTCAACTAGGTGTGGGGGGTCAATTTACCAACGTGATTGATCTTACACAACACATAGATTGTCCCTGACCTTCCGGAATTGGCAATCACACCCCCTCCTTCTCTCTCTCTCTACCCTCTCTCTCTCTCCTCTCTCTCTCTCTCTCTCTCTCTCTCTCTCTACCCTCTCTCTCTGCCCCCCCTCTCTCTCTCTCTCTACCCCTCTCTCTCTCTCTCTCTCTACCCCCCCCTCTCTCTCTCCTCTCTACCCCCCTCTCTCTCTCTCTACCCCCCTCTCTCTCTCTCCCCCCCTCTCTCGCTCTACCTCAGTTTCTGTAATGAGGCATTTTATTACAGGTATATAATGGTGTTGTTTTTCCTTCACGGATGGATGTCATTGTTTTGGGGTGGGTGTGGGTTGTGGTGGGCGTGGGTTGTAGTGGGCGTGGGTTGTGGTGGTGGGCGTGGGTTGTGGTGGGCGTGGGTTGTTGTGGTGGGTGTGATTTGTTGTGGTGGGCATGGAGTTTGTTGTGGTGGGCGTGGGTTGTGAGTGGGCGTGGGTGGTGGGCGTGGGTCGTGGTGGGCGTGAGGTTGTTGTGGTGTTGGGCGTGGGTCGTAGTAAAGCAGTGACTCCCGGGCTGTGGTGGCTTTAATTCAACCTTGTCTCTGCAAATGTCAGTCAGGGAACAGGAACTATATGAGGCGGAGAGGAGGAGAGAGGGATGAAGGAGGGAGAGGAAGGAGAGGGAGGAGAGAGAGGAGGAAGAAGAGATAGGAGACAGAGAGGAGAGAGAGAGGGGGGGGGAGGACAGAGGTTGATAAAGAAGGAAGGAGAGAGAGAATGTAGGTTATGTTTATGGGTTCACGGTTGACGTCATTCGTGTTAGTGAGTCCTTATGGGTGTATTTAAACCCTTATTGACCCGTGAAGGGACACTAACCCACCCTAAGCTAACCTAACTTGATCCACTCTAGCCTAACCTAAACCAACCCAACCAAATATAATGTGTGTGTGTGTGTGTTTGCGTGTTGGTGTCAGTATAAAGAGTGCCCGTGTGTGTGTGTGTGTGTGTGTGTGTGTGTGTGTGTGTGTGTGTGTGTGTGTGTGTGCGTGATCCACTTGTAACATTTACCTCCTTCTGATTAAAATACCAGAGTTGCTTCCTGCCTCACCACGACACCATGAAGGTGACATTAACGACGACACAACGACAACTCAGGTAAAAAGTCACTCTATTAACTCTACAACAAAAATGATCGCTATTTATCGCTGGCGGCTCTAAAAGTTGTCTTAAAGTTCAAACAGTCCGGGATATAGGGGAAGGGGTGAGAGGTAAACACGACCATGGCATTCAGCACAGTTTCTTAAGTTAATAAACGAGATGACGAGACTTAACGATTCTTTAATTAGTTTGTGTGTGTGTGTGTGTGTGTGTGTGTGTGTGTGTGTGTGGTCTCAATCGGTCAGTACTTGTGGTATTTCATTCTATTACGTGGTGTAATTATTGAATTTTTTTTTTACCTACACAGTCTCTCTCTCTCTCTGTCTCCAAGGCTGAGAGATCCGGCATTAAGTAGCAGCTGTTGTTCATTAACTTTGACTAGAATAACACTATTCCTCCATACTGCCTCAACACACACACACACACACACTCTCTCTCTCTCTCTAACAGTGATCTACAACCACAAGTCAACCCTATATTAACTGCATATATGCCCCAGTCACAACAACAACATCAATCCAGCAGTCACAACTACAACAATAATAACCTCAATTATCCAACAATCACAACAACAACACCTCGGTAATAACCTCAGTGATCACCCTCAACAACATCTGTTATAATAATTCTCACAACACCAATAATCAATTTTTATGTGAATTAGTCAGCTCTATGGATGCCAATACTGAATCTGACTGACTGACTGACTCACACTCTCGCTGACAGAACCCTCTGACCAGCCCGGACTGACACAGCTTACGGGAATTTGCACTTGACAACATCATGACTACCACCATCACCTTCACCACCACCACCATCATCATCATCACCACCATCGTCACTACCTCCGCCATCACCACCACCACTACCTCCGCCATCACCACCACCACTACCTCCGCCATCACCACTACCTCCGCCATCACCATCACCTCACCACCACTACCACCATCGTCACCTTCACTTATTCAACATCACGACAGCGGTTCATTTACCCACCAAACACAACACCTCCCACCACCCTTATAAACACTTAGATTACCTTGATAAATAAAGACTGCCGTAGATTATAATAAACTGTTAACTGTGTAAACTCTAAAGCCATCACACTTGTACAGTTAGAGTGTGCATATGTCACAAGAGCAGAGGTTGTCCACTCTAAAGTTAAACAACGTATTTAACGGTTACTGTTAACGGTAAAATCTCCACATAAAACACTAAATGTCTTGTTTACCAGGGTACAAAAAACAGAGTACTGTATACTGTTAGTTACTGACGCAATTAGAATCAGTATACGAAAGGTCACTAACTTTTACGTCAAAACAGAACAGAACAAATATTTACGTCTAACGGAACAAACGCTAGAATAAATAATGTTATTAAATAAATCTGTTTTGTGCGGGAACACGGTATAGCAGCGAGCAACACACACACACACACCTGGGGAACGGAGGTCTCATGGGGCAGCTGTCTCATGATGGTCAATGTGGAGCTACACTCACGTTCTCACCACCACCACGGTCAACAACACACTGACTCGCTTCCGTTCGCTCCACCCCCGCCCCGCCGGCCCTCCCTCTCTCATTGCCTCCCTCACTCCCTCCCACACCCTGCTCTCTCTCTCTCTCTCTCTCTCTCACACAGCATAGTAAGTGAGGTGAGGGGCCCCTACTACCATCCCCTGCTACCTGGTAACACAAAACCTGGAATCCTCGAGGCATCCTTCAAGCAATAGCAGGATGTGACCGTCTCACCCCACACCCACACAGTCCAGAGGGCACAGTCGTTCTCTGAGACTCTTGAACTGGAGTCTTTCCCTTCACCTCATCATCCTCATGCTGTTTCCCTGTTGTATCTGCCTCACCCCTCCCCTCCCCCTCATTCCCTCACACACACCCCTCTTCTCTCATTCCGTCTCTAGGTGCCATGCGAAGCGAGTACCCCAGGATATGAGTGTGTGTGTGTGAGTGTGGTATAAGTGGTAGGGGGGCATCTCGGTCACTTCTTCAACCAGGAAGCTGATATTTGGACCAAGTGATTTGGCAAAACCAGATTTTTTTTTTAGTCATATGAACAGCTCTCCTCCCCTTCCCTTCCCTCTCGCTCCCCCTCCCCTTCCCTTCCCTCTCGCTCCCCCTCTCCTTCCCCCCATTTGTCTCCACTGTTATTTATGTGTCCGTCATCTCATCATATTTAAGTTATCCTCTCTCTCTGTCTCTCTCTGGTCCTCACACGCGGCTCTCCTAACAGCCTACAGTCTCTCACAAGTACAGGGTCCACACGCACATCACCTGTAACATACTCTACATTAACCTAACCTAACGATGATTAAAAGGTCAGTTAGAGGAATTGTCACATATTAACAGTTTAGGTGAATTTATTTTTTTATTTATTTATTTTTCCTGAAGCACTACTAGACTGGACCCGTCTGACTCTGGGAAGGCCGCCACAGATCGTATGTGTGTCATTCGTCTCAGTAAAGGAAGAAAGTTAGTAATTACTGTATACTGGCTGGTGTTGCTACTGATATTTTACTTCCTGATGATTCTGTGGTTTATGGGTGCGTGGCAGTGCGTGGCAGTGCGTGAGATTGTTCGTAGCTTGATGGTGGTGCGTGTGGTTGTGGTCAGTGATTTGAGTGCATTACAGCGGTGGTGCGTGGCGAATTATGCACTGTGCGTGTGTGGCGGCGGCGTATAGCATGGAGTCTTTTGGTGGCAATGATGAGAACGGTTGCAGGGTCAAGTAGGCAGCACCTAACTTAACCCTATCTATCTATCACCTGTCCTAATAACTGCGATATAGGTTAGGTTAGGTAAGGTAAGGTAAAGTTAGGTAAGGTGAGGTAAGGTAAAGTTAGGTAAGGTAAGGTAAGGTAATTAGTCACCACCCCTCCACATCTCACACTTTCCTTCGTTATATTTGGCCTCGTAAATTGAGTTATACAATGGCGCCCAAATTACACCGATACTATAGATTATCTCGATACGTTCTCTTAACACTTGATTAAGAGGAGAAGTAATGAGTCTAGAGTCTTATTGAGAGGCTGTGTGGAGGGAGGGAGGGGGTGGGCTGTGATGTTTATCGTTTACGGTGGTGATGACAATTTTCAATTTCAATTTCAATTGTTTATTCCTTGATAGAGGAAGCGGGATCCTAGTGCTGTCACTAGGTACCCCTGTACAATGACACCAGAAGCATCTGGCAAGTGTGACAAGTATATACAGTATAAATATTATAAAGGGGCTTACTAAAGCCTAAGGAAGGAAGGATATTCCTTTAACACATAATCAATGTTATTTACAAAATATCTGGCCAGTATGGGGAGGATCATCGTGTCTCCGTCAGGGGGTCGTGGAGTGGTGGTTCAGCAGGCGTCACGGAAGCGTTGTGTGTGGGGACATCTTAGGAGGTAGTGGATAAGGGTGCGGCTGTCGGGTCTTCTGCATAATGCACAAGAGTGGTGATGACAGGTAAGGTGGTGATGACAGGTAAGGTGGTGATCACAGGTAAGGTAACACACTATTGGTCACGGTTCATAAGGTATAAGGAGGGATTAACACCACCTTACCATTGTTCAAGTATGGGGCGGGAGTCAAGGTTAGGTTAGGTTAATAATACACCTTGATGCTGGGCTGGGCGGTGTTGGTATACCTGTGCTAACCAAACCTACCCTACCCTACCTGTGCTAATATCCATCCCTACACCTGTATACTTTGCGTTGTTTGTGAATTAATGAAAAATAATAAAATTTTGTCGTAATGGATTCAATCTCTGCAGCTTTCTAGTTATAAATCTTGTTTTCATTTACCTCAGGTGTTATAAAATCAGTCACTCTTTAACCCCAACGCACGACTTTAACACCTGTGGTTACCTGCCGGAGGTGTGTGTGTGTGTTCCTCTTCCCCAGGTGTTGGGTGATTATTCCGGCGCCACAGGTGTGAACAACAAGTCGCTCATACCTGTGGACGCATAACAGGTGAGGCAGGTAGGTAGGGGCGACACATGGCATAACAAGATCATGGAGCTGACCTATAATAGCCTTACCTAACCTAACCTAACCTAACTTATCTAACCTAACTTACCTTACCTTTCCTAATCTAACCTAACCATTTCTAGTCTTCCCAAACCGAACTGTATATCCCTAACATTAATTTAACCTAACTAACTAACCTAACCCAACACTAATGTAACTTCAAACTAACCTAACCTGTCACTAATCTAACCTAGCTTATCTTAACCTATACAACTTTACGTACATACAAATCTCTCTCTCTCTCCCTCCCACCCTCTCTCTCTGTCCCTCCCTCCCTCTCTCTCCCTCCCTCCCACCCTCTCTCTCTGTCCCTCCCACCCTCTCTCTCTGTCCCTCCCTCCCTCTCTATCTCTCCATCCTACCCTCCCTCTCTCTGCCCCCTTCCCTCTCACCCTACAGAGCGGTAGCAACACAGACAGTGAGGTTCCTCTGACCCGGATCCGGCCCCCCTCCCTTGTTCACCCTATACTATTACCACCATCACCACTACTACCACCACTACCACAATCACTACCACCCTGTTACCACCACTGCTACCACTACCACCTATCTATCTACCCATCTAGGTATTTATCTATCAATTTATCTACCTGAGCCTGGTGGTGTTGAGGTGAGCTGCCTGGCTGTGTGTGCTGTCTGCAGGAGTACTGCACTGTACCTGTGTGACCTTGACTTGCCACAGATAGTCCTGAGCACCTTTGGTAGATTAGCGGTATACCTATTGACCTCTAGTGGGCACAACAGAGAGAGAGAGGGAGGGAGAGGGGGCTGTATGTGTGAGAGAGAGAGAGGGAGAGGGGGCTGTATGTGTGAGAGAGAGAGGGGGGTATGTGTGAGAGAGAGGGAGAGGGGGCTGTGTGTATGTGTGTGAGAGAGAGAGGAGAGGAGAGAGGGGCTGTATGTGTGAGAGAGAGGGAGGGGCTGTATGTGTGAGAGAGAGGGAGATGTGTGTGAGAGAGAGAGGGGACTGTATGTGTGAGAGAGATGCTGGTGTGTGTGTGGGCTGTGTGTGTGTGTGTGGGCTGTGTGTGTGTGTGTGTGTGGGCTGTGTGTGTGTGTGTGTGTGTGGGCTGTGTGTGTGTGTGTGTGTGTGTGTAGGCTGTGTGTGTGTGTGTGTGTGTGTGCATTACAACATAGGGGTGCCGCCCTACTCCACACACAAACTCGCATCATGTTATCTGGTCAATAGATAAACATTATCTCTTCCTGCATCAGAGGAAGACGTGAATTATTATCTCTCTCTCACACAGATACAGCCTCACACACATGCATGCTCTTACATATATAAATCAATGCACACACTAACACATATACTGTACACACACACACAGTCAGCCCCTCACTCACACACACAGTCAGCCCCTCACTCACACACACAGTCAGCCCCTCACTCACACACGCTTCCTGACAGCCTTACCCTTCTCCCAACAGAGTACAATACGTGATGGTACTCAGTCGTCCTCGCCTACACAAGACGATGAACAACACACAGTACTACACTAGTTCCTGTCATTGTTCCTGTCTACTGTTACCTTCTACCTGTTGACCTTTTCTTAGTGGTGGGCATGTTGGTTAGGTTAGGTTAGATTTTGGTTGGGTTAAGTTAGTTTGGAATAGGTTAGATTGGGTTAGGTTTGGTTGGGTTGGGTTTGGTGGGGTTGGGTTTTGGTTGGGTTAGGTTTGGTGGGGTTAGGTTTTGGTGGGGTTAGGTTTGGTTGGGTTAGGTTTTGGTGGGGTTAGTTTGGAATAGGTTGGGTTTAGTTTTAGTTATGTTAGTTTGGATTAGGTTAAGTTCTGGTGTAATAGGTAAAGTAGAGGTTAGGTTATATAGTCACTAGGAGGGGGTTATATTGTGTGGACTCGGCAGCAGGTGGCATGTGTGTAGTCCTGACCCTCTTAGTCTAGTGTTTCAACAGCTGACTGACTGACCCTCGACCACGTCACCTCCTGTTGGCTGTGTGTGTGCTGGGCTTACCTTGTGTGTGTGTGTGTTGCGTGTACCTTGTGTGTGTGTGTGTGTTGCGTGTACCTTGTGTGTTTTGCGTCTACCGTGTGTGTTGCTACTACCTTGTTTGTATTTCTACATTGTGAGTGCGTGTCATGTCTACCTTGCGTATGTGTGGTTGAATTCAAGTTAATAAAATGTTAATTATTGAATTCCATTATTAATTTATATTAAAAGTTGGTTTTCTTCTGTAGTAAACAAAATAAAAATATCATCTTTCGTTCTGTTATCCTGAAACTGTAGTAAAATAAAACAATCTATCCTTAGGTCCAGGTTACATTGAGTTTTCTTATTCGTGAAGTCAAAGATATCGGTTCCCGCTCATAGGTAACATTACACTAAACTCTTATCTCCACCAAGGAAACGTGAAGTAAAATACACTGATTTATATCCATGATGAAAGTGTTTGGCAAGGAGGAAGAGGGAGGGGGGTGAGGGAAATGGGAGGAAGAGGAGGGAGGGGGGGAAGGGGGAAGGAGGAGGGAGGAGGGAGGGAAGAAGCAAGAGGGGTAGTGATAATGAGGAAGAGAAGGAGGGAGAAATGGGGAAGAATGGAAAAAAAGAGGAAATAGGAAGAAGGGAAGGGGAAAGAGGGAATAACGAGGGGGGTAGGGGAGAATGAGGAGAAGAGGGAGGGTGGGGGAGGAGAAGGAAGTTTAGGGATTCAGTCAGTCATTAGTGTGAGTGATGGAGGTAGACAACACATGAACTGCTTCCTGGCCTTTGTGTCTCTTCCCTCCTCCTCTTCCTTCTTCTTCCCTCCCTCCTTCTCCACCATCCTCCTGCTTTGTTACTTGTGCCTCCTCCTTGCTTGCTTGTGTCTCCTGTTGCTTGATTGTCTCACTCCTTCCCCTGCTTCTGCTTGTTTATCTCACTGCTACTTCTTGCATGCTTGATTGAAATTCTTGTTGTCATTATATCAATCTTCGCCTCCTGTTGTTGCTGCCTCTGCCTGTACTCCTGAACACTCGGGTCTATGCTCGTTTAGCCCATCGACTTGTTACACGGCAGCGGTGGAAATATTTGAAAGTACTCGGAGAAAAGCAGTGAAATTAATACTCGAGTCGAGGAACTTGATTTTTGAAAACCCGCCTGAAAAAATTAAAGATTCTGCAGTATATGTGGAGTCATGACCGAGTCTTTGAACGCAACACAAGGAATAAATCTTAAAGACGTAAGCACAAAGTTGAGACTTGAAACATCAGTATTACTAGAGATGAAAATTTAAAGCTGTTTACGCAATGAACAACAGTAAATTATAATAACTGAATGTGATAATCTAGTGTTCAGAACTCAGAGGAGGTGCATAAGTGAAATTTGAGTTTATGAATAATAAATTACTGAACATATCAAGGGTATAGTAATAGATATAAGTCCATATGGTCATGTAAAATCTGGTTAAATAGGTTGTGGTTGATTTGATTCAGTTATGCTTCTGATGGCTGGGTGAGGCAAGAGTTGGTCACTTCTGTTTAGGTTGGAGCTCCATACGTGATGTTCTTGTGATCATACGATGCTCATTACTGCACCAGGTATGAGGAAAGACCTTGTGATCATGATGCATGTTGAGGTGTCCTTCTGATTGGTGCCTGCAGCAGTGATGTAGGTGCATCCTGAGCCACAGTTTATGTTTAGACAACCCTTTAGGCAAGGTACTTTTGAACTGGTACAGTGAACAAAAAATCTCATAAATACTCTGACATGATGACCTCACCAATGGATGAGTACAGTATTGCCATGAGTTTTAAGACCTAGGCTCTGTTAAAAGATACTGTATCTGCAGGTGAAGAAGTACAAGGAACTTATGGTCCCTCCAAAATATTACTGTACTTTATCGGAGCAGGTCTGTGGGTCTGGTTGACGGTACAACTCGGGGAGATTTTAGTCATTACAAAATTGAATAATAATCAGAAAGAAAGTAAATGACTGTCAGTTTCCATATAGATTAACAACTCTTTATGGCAGTTCACTTTGCATACAAAATTAAGCAATCAAGGCTTACTACAGGCAATACTTGAGCAACATACACAATCATATCTCAAGAGAGGGCCACTCAAGGTTACTTTGTTAAGTAGAATAATCTTCCTCCCATGTCTTCTGTCTCACAAAAATATAAGTGAAATCACTGCTCGAGGCTTTGTTCACATGAACACACATTCCCAGTAATATAACACACAACAAACAGGCTGGATGAATATGACCAGAGAGTAATTTTCAGATACTCTTCACAACTACAGTATTCATATCTACACTAAGATAACATACGATAGTGTCACCATGCCACACAGGAATCACTGTCCCTGTCCTTTCTGCCTAATTCTCTGCTTGTACAGTACAGTACTTACATATTCGAATAAAGTTTCTAGGTCTATATATGTCACATAACAAAATGCTGGTAACGATATGATGACTTTTTTTATGGAGCTAGAGTCATGCTGCATATATGAGAGAGGAGTCTTTCCAATGATAGGATTATTGTTACCAGATGAATTGAGAAATTACTTTAATTTCTCGTTCCCATATCTAGAGCTTGTGGAAATTTGTTTAAATCACCCAAAGTTGCTTGTTGGTTTCAGATGAGAGAGAGGAAGGGAGTGTGTGATTCTGACTTCCACAAGATAAAGGAAGACTGATTTAGGAATGATACCATTTAGATTCACAAGTCCTGACTTTAATGTCTAATCCTCAGATGTGCTCATGGTAACTTCATTAAATTAGTGCAACTTACCTGTTCGGAGGCGAGTGGTGAAGAGGCACTGCCTGTTACCACAGATATCACAAGACTAATTGTCTACAAGACTGTGGCGCACTGCCTTATCTTATCTCTCTCACCCACCTACCTCCACATATAACTCCCAAGGCAGATTATCATGTTAGTGAAAATGGGAATATTGTACTTTACCTGCATAACTAAAAGGCAGAATAATTAATGAACACCAATATAAAAATACAAGTACCGTACTGTAATATGATTGCTCAGCAGGCACAGAAATTGCTGTAAGTTGCCTCTTTCACAAAAAATAATGCAAAAACTGTTAGTTTTATTTCCTGCCATGCTTCACTTGACTTGATTAGTACATGCACTCCACAGAACTGCAGAGGAGGTACATGGTTTTCTCATGATGTCGATCTACAAGTTTCAAATGGAAATGAAAATGTTTCTTAACCTCTTGCACGGAGATACCACTCTTGACATTATTTTGCTAATGCTATATGATTTTAGAGGAGGTTAGAGCTCCATCCAGAGTTGAGGAAGCTGCACCTGACCTTCATCAATATGAATTGTGAAAAAATATTACATGAGAACATTCCATAATGATTTAGCGTTTGTTGTTGTTCACGTTGTTTAAGTTACCAGATACCGACTACTGCACTAGAGGAAAAGGACGAGACGAGAAAATTCCATGAAAGTAGTTACTGATACTGTAGTGTGAAGGAAATTAGTGGTGTTGCAGGTGAGAGGTCGTGCTGTACAAGAATATTTTTAACTGTAAAAGTGCTCTCTGACTAACCAAGACTTACAAGTTAAAAACATTGCAAAGGTGCTTTAAGAAAATATAGGTGCCATTTTAAAATGCATAAATATGCTTTAATCACATCTGTAGAAGTGAAAAGATCCTTTTCTCGTCTCTTCAAGCCTCCAAGCGGGCAGTGTGTGTGTTACTGTATTCATATCCATTGGATTTGTTTTCTGATCAGTAATTAAAGGATAGACTGACAAAACAAAATAAACTTTGGTATACAGCTTTGTTGTTGATACCTGTGGTAAGATCAGTAGCCAGTGTGTAATGTGACAGACAAATAGGAAACTGTTTTCAGCCAAAGGGGCAGCTGGGTATTGAGGGTATTGATGCAAAGTTTTGCCTTGAGGTAGGCTGAGATGGTTTGAGCAATGGAGAGAATGGAGACCAATTGGTCAAAAGATGCACGAGTTTGAATGTGTGGGGGGGAGGGGAAATAGCCAGGGGTAAGCCAAGAAAAACTGTGAGGCATAATCTGTCTGGTAACATTTTTTTCACGATGATAATAAATTAAAGTACTGCATTTTGTTCTATACACAATACAATCACCGAACATTACTGACGGGGATGCTGTACGAAGTTTATTGATCTTGGTTACCTTGTGAAAAGTAAAGTTAATTGTGACTGGAAGGCAAGAAAGATTCATCATTTCTGTGCATGTATAATGAGCTGTTTGCACAAATGTTAGAACAATTTGTTGTGTTGAGGTTCTGTTCACCGAATGTAGAGTACTCATGTAAATTTAGTCTTATACAGTACCTTAGAAATTATAGAAGATAATATCTAGAGATGAACTCTCTATACTCCAAAGTTTATTCCTTCTGTTATGTTTTATTTTTATATGAAAAAAGTATTTTCATAATTCAAATGATCCAGTCAACCGAAGACACCAAAATCTACTTTTTGATGTCACATGCTAAAGAGCAAGGCAATGGATCAGGCATCTTTTGCAAAACAAAACACTTTTTTACTGGAAAGTGAAAACTGGTGTGCTTAAATGATAAAGATAGTCAATATACCAAAGAAAATTTACGGCCACAGCGTAATTGACGTTTTAAACATTTAAAATTACTATACAGTAATCACCCCGTTAGCCGCAGCTCTCCAATAGCTGCATTTTTTAGCCTTCCGAGAAATTCTGGATAAATTTCTCCATTCCGGGAATAGGAACAAGATTCAGAGGATGGAATCGTGCACATTTCCGGAAAATTTCTCCGTTCGGGGCGGCTGGGAGGGTAGGCTCAGAGTGCTTGTGAGCTACAATTGACCACTACTGTCATGTGACTGCATGGGATGCCAATAATTAGATGATGTATCTCACAGCCTATCTCATCAAACTCTTGCATCGTGACTCTTAGTTCATTGTCTGGATTACCATTGTACAAGCTTGTGTGTTCACTCTGCTGTTTTCAGGGATATCACTGTGTATTGAAAAATGTGGTGTAAGTACTGTACATAATGTGGTTTAAAACAAAGCTGAAAGGTAAAGTGCAAAAATACTTGAGGTAGAATGAAGTATTTTCACAGAACAGATAGTGAAGAGTTCTGTAGGAGACTTGGTATTGTTACCTAGCTACAAGAGAACAGTGCATGGTGATTAAGCCTCAGCTTTCATGTGGACTAACTATGAAGTGATCTATTTGACCCACAGTGATGGCAGTAAGGTAAGATGACGACCTGGCAAGACAGGGTTAGGAGTGATAAAGGAACAAGTACTGTATGAAGAACATCTTGCATTCCCCTTCTAGTGAAATTTTTACAAGTTTTCTGCTGTGAAAAATTGACACATTTAAACATTTCTTGGTGATATACGGCATATTTCTCGGCAATTAATGGAAAACCCAAAAGAAAGGATTTGTAAAAATATACACTACTATATAACTAAATTACCTTTTTATTTTCACATTGGAATGAAATATGTCGTAGATTTTCAGATTTGTCATTATCTATACAAAATGTTGCTTGGGTAACCCTTCCATTGCAATCATTTAATGCTTTAAATAACACAAAGAATTTGCCTCATAGGGTGATGATGCTGTACAAAGGCCTTTGATCCGAAGGCAGCCACATGAGGTTCAACATTGACACACGTCGTAACATATGTACAAGGTAAGGCGTTGGTTTACTTGCCAACCTTAGGACCAAAGCCAAAGACAACCAGCCCGGACTCCTTTGCCTGAAAATATAAACAAAATCAATTTTCACTGAATATAAATGTCTTTTAAAGCACATGACAATAAAAAACATCTTGTACACACAGTCAGTAACCACTTAATGTACATTCATACACGTACTTTTTTAATGGTACAGTACCATATAACTAATAAGTACAGTACTGTACATAATCTGCAGATAAGTACCATATGTACATTGCACAAGTGCTAACTGATGTTGTTTTCTTGCTGCACTTCATTTGTTTGTGTTTTATTTAGATAGATTCTGTAGGTTGTTTTTTCAGAGAACAGTATTCTGTATTGTAACAATACTGTACGTACCGTATTTCATTACACTCTACATGTCCAATACTAAGCTAAAAGAGTATGGAGCAATAGTAAATCTAAATTTCTTAGCTTCATAAAATGTACAAGGATAAACTCAGAGCCTCATCATTTACACAATGCCTGTACAGGACTGTACCGTACATATACTTTACTACACCTGTAGACAATGAAACCGTAGTTAAGACATTGATATTACAGACCCTATTGTGCAGGTGAAGACTTAATTTTCCACTTGAAATAAGCACGAGGGTAGTAATTATGATGGCAACAGTAGTCAAATGTTCCAATCTTACATTTTGTTAAATAAGCACAAGAATCATTAGTCATGTGTCCAATTCTGAATAAGAATCTGCATATGAAAACTTACTAGGAATACAGAAATACAGGTAATAAATATCTAGAAAATTAGACTCCTGCAATCCAGCAAACCAGTCATATTAAAATACTGTAAATTTATCTGGAAGAATGAATACAACAGACCACCTGCTGGTCCTGGCCTTAGGGAATTAACAAAGAATCAAGAATATTCAGGAGCAACTGTTTACCTAAATTAATAAGTTTGTAGTGCAGTACCAAACTCCTTAACTCACATAAACTAAAGTGCCAGAAGCAATTAGAATTCCTCCCAGAAGCTGAAGATTATTTTTACGCTGCTTTTGAGAGTGAGCTTCCTTCCATGAACCCTGGGGGACTGGTAGATCTGCCATGGTGGGAGGCTTGACGGATTCCACATAACTCACGCTGCGGCCCAATGCTGCAAGGCACAACAATATACAGTATGGTATAAAAAACAGTGATGTGGAGTATGTCATAACACCTTGGAATCCATAATACCAGTAACTGAATTTGTAAAGTGGTGTATGTATTAATGTGTATTGGCAAGCTTATTTAATATTCCTGTCTATCACTATCAGAAGAACTCAAGATAAAGATGAATAGTCCACAAATTTAGGTTGTAATAAGATTCGTTTCTTAGAAATTTGTATGGATCACTGGAGTGTAAATTCCCAGACTTCTCAAATCTTTTCCTCGACTCTGCACAGGTTAGGCAGTCATTAGATCCACCTAACAAATAACAACGCTGTGTTCAAAGATGGAGGATAGCAAACATTTACTATGACATCAGTGTAGGGGATCTAATTCCTATATATAGGTACAAAATAAGTTTTGATGGCTGATATAAACCTTTCAGACTTAACTATACCCTTATGATTTGAGGTTTGGTTTGGCTAAGTTAGCTACCAGTCAAAACTCAATCAGGCATAAGGTAACACCGTAGAAAAGTTTTCTACGAGCAGTACATTATTATTTACATATCTTTAATTAAAATCTTTAGATATCTTTGTTTTAGTGCCTACAGTGCATATTTTAGGGGAAAGCAGGAAAAATCTGAAATTGTATTAAATTAAAAATATAAAAAAAAATGACCTTATCAAGTATAATGCAGTACAGCACTGTACACTTTTGTCAGCTTATGGTGGTCAGAAGTTACTGCTGGACTGAATCATTTCGAGAGCAGCCCTAATGAACCAATCACATCCAACCTAACAATACGAATATTTTTTGTTGTATTAGATTTAATTGATACACATTATAATGTTAAAATTAATTTCGCTGTCTCCAACCATACCATACACCTACCCTGTGTGGTAATCTTGTTTTGATGGACAAATTATACTTACCATAGCTAGGTATTGTTTATGCTAGGAATAATGAATCTTATCTGGGAATCCTGACTGGTAGTTTTCTGAAAATAACCAACTGAACTGGGTTTATCTAAGCACAGTAATAATTACAGCACACCGTTGCTTCTGTAGGTCTCAAAACTGTGATTTTAGCAGAAATTTACCACTAAACTGCCAGATTTGGTGATTGTCTTACCCTATGTCTGAGTGAGAACAGTACAGTATTAAAGGATGCTAGCTAGGATTAATCAGCCATTTGGATGGTTGGGTCTTTATTTTTTGTTACTGTAATTTGTTATTAGCTTTTTTGTCTTGTGTCAGTTATTAAGTACAGCCCATATTCCACACACTTGTGTCAGGTATGACCTGAATACAGTACAGTACCATGATGAGGTGCTGTGGTCCACTATACATACCGTACAGTATGGTAAATCAGTTTCACGTGTACCTTTACAGGCTTTAATACCGTACCTGGTTCTTGAGGGTAAAGTAAGCCACGAGCTCAACCATGGTTCCCTCTGTTGTCAAGTATTTCCAGTTCTTCTGTAAACACCTTCGGTTATGACCTAAACCTACCAAAAACAAAATTTCTTCCATACAATTTCGATAAATGACAAGTTTGGCCACAGAAGCTTTAAGTTCAAAGGTCTTTTTTTGTACAAAGCAAAAGAAAAAATCTTAGACTTTTTTTCCATGTGAATTAAATAGAGAAAACAAGATAAAAAATTTTGCTTGCGAGAACAATGTCAATCAACAAACGGGTATGTGAAAGTTAACAAACATGAAGTTGATTAAACGGGATCAATCAAGCCATAATGTAATGATCAGCAAGCACTGATGAGCTATCATTAGCCTGATGTCTATCTTGGTCACAGGACCCAAGTCTATCCGGCTTTTATAGGAGTAAAATAATCTTCAGTAATGATTCCGGTATTTTTTCATTATCTTGACATTATAAGCAACAATAATAAGTACTCTTCGATAGCTTTAAATTGCCAGTTCTATGTATCTAGGAAAATAAAAAATACTAACCGGCAATCGTTGAAGGTTCACTATGACGAAATAGTGGACCCAAGACACTGTATCTAATATTATGGGCAACTGGCGTCATTTAATACCTTCTGTTGGCAGTAATAACTTTTCTTTTCACTTAAAACATACTTACGTTTGGCCTTAGCAATATTACGAGCGGTGAGAGCGGTCCTGGCAAACATCTTAGTGAAGGGCTGAGCTGTGGCTGTGGTGGGTGATGGCTGCTGCTGCCCTCTACCTCCTGCACTCAGTACTGTCGACATATATGTAAAGTATTATAAACTGTTATGTTGAATCTAACAGTCAGCAAAACTAATCACAATAATATGTAAAATATTTTTGTATAACAGGATAAAATATATACTTCAGAAGTATATATATACTGTATATATCTTTGAAAGCTGCAGACGACAGCATGACTACATTCGTTTATAGATAAACGAATATCACAGACATTATTAAAATAGAAAGTATAGTTTCTGGCAGTATATTTGTTTTTTAATAAATATAATGTAGTAATAGTTTGATGTTTTCGTTAACACATCGAGTAAAAGTGTTGTTTATTACTTTCAACTTTATCATGAATGTAAAATCACAACAAGGATGTTTTAATATAATCATACGTTATATGTCTATGGGATTTTGAATTAGAAAAAAGTGCATTTTATACCAATGATTTCTTAGCCAATGGCCGGTAAAGGAGATTACCTTGAGGTTGAGGATCTCGCTTGACGCTCCTTGACGCTGTTGGGTGTCGTCCGCTTTGTTTACTTCAGTGCTGTGTGAGACAGTGTACGGGGAGGAGGTGTGACGCTCATGCCTCCTACTGAGATGTGAGTGCTCTCTGTGATTTATTGCAAAGCTTGATGATGCTCCCTTTAGTGTGTCATTGGTGAAGGATGAGGAAGTGGGCATCGTCATGAGTGTGTTTAGTGAATTCCACAAGGCGTGGCGTGCCAGGTTCCCCGTGAATGATCTGCCGGCGGCATGGGAGGAGGATGTTCGCGCCAACTTAGCCAAACATCGTTCGCGAGTCGTGGTCCTTAAGGAGGAGTTGGAGAAGGAACAGTTTTATGTCGAATACTTAGAGTGCCTCTTAAAAGATGTCCAGCGTCAGCAAATGCAGGAGGGCGATTGTGAGGAATTCGAGAGAGAGGTAGTGCAGGAGGAAGAAAGGGGCCAGGGAGAGGGCAGTGAAGGGGCAGCCCCAATATGCTCAGGTGGGGTTGACTCTGCTGTTACTCAAGCCATCAACACGATGATGGTGCAGCGTCGGCATCACCCTAATCGTGACCTCTCGTCTCCCGTAGAAGAATTAGAGTCTGAAGAGCCTAAGGCCATGGACAGCCAACCCCCTCTTAAAGTGGAGGGAGCCAGGTCAGCTCCACCCTCAGACGAAGAAGAGGGACCCCTGGCGCCCATCACCCCGCTGGCTGCTCCGCCTCCCGCCGGAGGCAGCACTGTGAGGGACCTCGCCCGTCGTTTCACGTCTTCGGGAGGAAACTCTAGTGTGGTAGGGCGGCCTCCACCCTACAACCGCTCCACCTCTGTCCCCGGGATTACCTCCGCCCTCCCCTGTGGTGGTCCACAAGGGAAGGAGTCGCAGTTTGTCACTGTAATATCTGTCAATGGTGCAGGTCAGGGGGAGGACGCACGCGGACGGAAGGTTCCTCCAGCACCGCCACCAAAGACCTTCCGGAAATCTACTGGCGCTGAGGGCGAGGGTGAGGCCAAGGTGCCCACGACGCCGTCATCCCCGGGAGCTTCACGCCCTCCCCATGCGATCCCACGCTCTCCCCAGCGACCACGTCACCCTTCTCCTATCAGGGACTCCCAGGGCACCGCACCTACAAAGATGCCATTACAAAAGACACTCTCCGCTTCGAGTGACAGCCGCCCCGCCACCCGTGAGCTTCACAAGTCCCCCCAGGGTGGCCGAGACCTGCAGAAGTCCCCCACTCACCCGAAGGAGTTACAGAAGTCCCCATCAAGTGCTTCCTCTACGGGCAGTCTGGGTAAAAAGTGTATATCAAAGTCATCATCTAGTGCTTCCTCGTGTGGAGGGAGCGGGGGTGCGCCCTCTCGTCGCATCGGCCTCAGCAAGACTTCCTCACTGTCCTCGTCGAGATGTGGTGAGGACGACGATGAGGTAGGCGGGGGCTCTGCTTCTGGGGCGTCCCTTGAGAACCTGACGGATGACGAGCCGCTGTATGACACTGTTGCTCCTGACGAAGACGACGACACGGGCGAGTATGTCCTTCTGTCTGACAAAAGCTCAGAGTATAATGGCACGGACACCCTCAAGTCAGCAGCCTCTGGGGCGTCTAGCGAAGGTGGTCTTAGTAAGTCTGGCGGGGGCGCGTCGTCAGGTGCCACACCGTCAGGAGGATCCCCAGCCCCTGAGCACCCACCAGACTCGCCCAAGTACTCCAATTACGTCAACATCGACTTCTTCCTTAAAAAGTAAGTACAGTAACGGTGAAGTAAGGAGTGGACGTAGCAGACCTCCCCGATGCTTGGGTTGTCTTAAACACTGAGTTTCGCCGGAAATTGCTAGTTAATACATGGACTAAACTCTGCCCTTTTTAGGCTTCCTTAGCAACAGTTACAGTTTATAGAAGTGAATTGATTCTTGAGTTGTAAGACTTTCGTACTGCCAGGTCGAGAAGTTTGTGTATAACCTTTTTCCTTTTCACTTTCATTGAAAACAAGATCGTGTTCGTGAATTTGCCGATGTGGTAACAACTCTTACAACTTTGTACGAATTGTAATGAATACTAAGGAAGCCAAAGTGGGCGGAACTTAATAGATATGCCAATTGGGTTGTTAAGGCATTCTTAAGTTGCTCCATTATATGTGACATTTCCACTGAGAAACATTCAGACTGAATATTGATTGACACCCAATGTAAGCCGGGCGTTCTGTTCGTTCCCCCTATTGGTTCCAACAACTGAAACGGTTGCTCGTCACTCACATACCCCTGCCATCCCCCCTACCTAGCCTAATTGTGTATTGATTTTCAGGTCCTCAAATATTAGGTATAAGGACGGTATATTAGGCACGTTACAGCCACCTTGACCTGCATGATATAAGCGAAGCGGCAATGGCGTCATGTAGACAGCGTGTTCGGGGAGACAAGGCGGTGTGTATTTTGACGGCCCTCTCGATGATCAAAATGGTATAGACGGATCACAAACTTAGCCTGATTATGTGCACTTTTCGCTACCTCAGATTTGTTAACATGTACATACTGTAACTCCACCATCATGTACGTACTGTAACTCCACCATCATGTACGTACTGTAACTCCACCATCATGTACGTACCGTAACTCCACCATCATGTACGTACTGTAACTCCACCATCATGTACGTACTGTAACTCCACCATCATGTACGTACTGTAACTCCACCATCATGTACGTACTGTAACTCCACCATCATGTACGTACCGTAACTCCACCATCATGTACGTACTGTAACTCCACCATCATGTACGTTCTGTAACTCCACCATCATGTACGTACTGTAACTCCACCATCATGTACGTACTGTAACTCCACAATCATGTACGTACTGTAACTCCACCATCATGTACGTTCTGTAACTCCACCATCATGTACGTACTGTAACTCCACCATCATGTACGTACTGTAACTCCACCATCATGTACGTACTGTAACTCTCACTGATTGTTAACTAAAATATTCCTGGTTTGTGTTTCTTCCCCAAAGGCTAAGACAGATTACAGTGATTGGTTATTAGATATTTTGAATTTGTAAACAAGAGGTGGAGCCAAAGGAACCAGTAAGTTTGTTTACCTGGACTAATTTCCTTTTATAATAGAACCAGCTTGTTAAAAAAGAGATGTTGGTACGTTTATTTCCAACAGTAATTATGGCTGACATTAATTACCACTAAGACTTAAGTAACTAGATGTAAATACAATTATAGGTGTCGTTAATTATGTTTTGGAACGAGTATCAAGTGGCGTTAGTCTTTACCCTGTCCAAGGTATAGCGTAACCCACGTTCATACAGGGGTTGAGGTGTTGACAGCCATCTTTTATCGTTTTGTTCCTTTACATTCTGAACATAGTGATACGCATACATAGATAATAATAATGTAAATGGTTCATTATTCCCAACATAGCACAGCTTTGAAAATCGAGATAATTAACATAGTTTTATCATACTATTCCACCCATTCACAGGATACTGGTTACCAAGTGACGGGACGTGTTGACTGTGTTCCTCATCCCACACACTCAGCCTTTCTCCAACATCCCGCGCGGTCACGGTAACGGGTGACCGCATATCACTACACTGGGGTGTTCAACAGATGAGTGATAGAGAGAGTGAGGGTTTTTCTGTTGTTCTCCCCGAAGTAGAGACAGAGAAAATTGATGGAACGTAATCAAGGTGTGACGTGTGGGAGCGTCACTTTACTTCCGTCATGGAGGAAACGGGTTTAGAGCCACGACGCTCGCTGGTGACAATGTCTTGACTCATTTTTCAAAGTTGTATTATTGTGTGGGACATATGGATGACTGTTTAAAAAGCCTTGTTGTTGAAACAGCTGTTGTACAATGAAACAACAGGTTACCAACACTCAACGAAGAATAATAGCGAATGCACATAATTTTATTCCTCAAACCATCGGGTAATGTGTTGATGGTTTCCAACAACAATAGCAACGAATTTCTGTCACAGGTTCATACAAGGAAAAGCTTTGATTACATACTAGGAAAGGAAAGTTCGCCTTATACCCTAGATTCTAGAAAGTTCCTTGGAATCAAAGGTATTTCTGTGTATCGCCGTCAACCCAACTGTAAGGTGATATACTGTAGGCCCATTGTTTTTCTTATAACGGTTGCAGAACCTGGTGCTCAACAACTGTTGTACCTGATTTCATCTAACTTACAAGAGTTGTAAAGGTTTGGAGGAGAACTCTACTCTACAGTCGTCTGGTAGTGATTGTATTAATGTTTTGATAAACTTGTACACCCATAATAATATAGTCGTTTTCTGTAACTGCTCGTCATCCACCCAGCTGATGCCACATACCACCCTCTCATTTCCTGCGCTTCACGTCAGGTCTTGTTACCCGACGTTTAATATGCAGGTCTTCAACTGTTAGGTATACAGGAAACTCGTAACATGCTTATATTAATATTCATCTCCACAGCAAGTTGCAAGGGAAGCTCTTGAGTGTTGTCAGAGGCGTACGTGACTGTTATTCTTCCCAACCAACTTCCATTTATGTATTGTGTAGCATCATAGTTTGGTTTATCCTTTTACTAAATTTTATGGTTTAATACACGTGTAGAAATGATGTAGTAAGGTCCACAACAAGCTACAAGGATGGTTGTAACTTAACCAAAGTATGAAGATTAAAGCTCATGGGTCATGAGGTTAGTTTTGATCCTAATGCCTGGGTTGGGATCTGCCTGACGCAGCCACTGTGAGAATACTTGTCAACTCCCTGGAGCGGCTTCTCCAACTCCTTTACCAGGGTGCAACAGTTTGCTCATCCTTGGTGAATTTTTAGAACTGCGTCGTCATCACTTGTTCGCCTGAGGCCTCTTGGGTGAGACTGTAACATCACTGCTCTACTGTGTTGCCCACTCAGCTATCTTACCTCTCACTCTGATACCATCCCCGTGTGTTGTCCTCCCGGCTGCTGCAGTCATGTGTACGTTAATTGAATGTTCTGTGGTGTTTGTCCAAGCTGTTGATAACGAAGGTATAGTTCACCTGCCACATATTTATGGTTTTACTGAACGCTATCAAGCATTAATTAATAATCTGTTGTGTGTACTCGGTTATTTATACTTTGTGTTGAAGGTTTTAAACAGGATTGTTCAACACAAATTAGAATTTCTACGAAAACTGAACGTCGTCCAAAACCAGACCCAGCAGTGTGATATTTTCAACTGTGTTTATAAAGTAATGGGAAATTTATTATGCCAACACAATAAATAGTTGTTTCGTATAGATGGCCTTGTCTGTCTGTCTGTCTCACTATTTTTTCTGTGATAATTTTCTGTCATAGTGGTGATGAGAACAAAGCTTGGTGCAGGGGGTTGTCATCGTCCGTGGAAGTTTCTCGGTAATATCCAGGTCATTAGTTCAGAGGTCGAGGTTACTTCCTGAAAACACACTTTTCATCTTCGTCGCTTCCGTCCGTCCAATTGTTTATATCCCAACTCCTTATACTGGGAGTGTGTGATGGTATAACGTTGGTCAACCTAAGCCTTGTGTGTGTGTTAGTCTTATTAACTTAACGGGACATGGCACCAAACAGTCTACAGGTGTTGGTGCCCTTTGACCTTAAATTTTGTCACTTTCCCTCATTGAGAAGTGTCATGTTACCTGACCATGACATATGAGGATAAGGCCATGTTGAACATGCTGTGAGGAAAAACACCCATTTTATCCTCCTGCGGGCTGGTACAGTATATGTGTGTTCGTATTAGTTGTTAAAGTTATTGATCTGGTAGTGAATGTGGGTCACTTTCTTCACATGGTTTAATTTTCCTGTCTTGACCTACAGTATTTTACCAACAAACCTGCCTCTGGCTACAGCTCACCCCACAACACCTATCCTACACTGCTCATAGGTTTTAGTGTTGACATAAGCAATTTGAAGCTTATCGTGCAGGACTAAAATTCAGTGTTCTCACGGGGGACGATTTTTTCTTGTAAGATAATTTTCCACTGGATGATAATTTCTCTAGGTATATTGTTTATGGTTTGATATCTAATTAAGACAGGTGGAGTGGAGGCTATCAGCTGTAGTGTTTACTGATACCATGGGTTTATAAAATGTCTCCCTCGCTTGACTCACTCATTCGAGATCCTTGCCAAGTGTGTTAAGTGCCATTGGGTACACAACCAGTGGCGTTCACCGGGAGTGTGTCACACCTGTACACGGAACCCTGCCAGCCTGTACCTATGATTCACACTATGAAGGTGTTAAATGTACCTTACCTCAAACGTAATCCAGGGTATCCTAAACCCCACTTAACTTAATCTTAACATAACCCCACGTAACTTTAACATAGAATAACCTAACCTAATAAAAGTTTAACCCCAAAAGTAACTTGTCTTACCCCTTCCCTAACCAGACCAGCTGTGTTATAGAAATTCGGGTCCGAGAATTGATTTAGTACATAGGCCCCTTTGACTGCCCATAGATCATATAAATTTACATAGTTTTCAGTATTTACGCCCTGAGGACCACGTGATATTTGATAGTGTTGATATATACGATCTATACAACGTGTCATTGGCCATCACAAGTAACTTAGGTCCGGTGATGTTTTGTTTTGGTGACCCCGGAGTGTCTAAACCTGCATGTGTTGCTAGTGGAGTGATTCTCTGGGTCCATAGATGATTGTTATTATTATCGATTATCTCGTACTGTTGGTCCATAGATTATTATATCTTGTACTGGTGTGTG